CCCTCCTTTGGGCGTTGTGATCATACTGAACCGCCGCCCAATTGGCCGCTTGAGAGGTCACATCACGTGTTAGCCGAGTACCTAAAGGTGCAGGCCGATAAGGGTAAAGAATGGGACACATGGCTGGATTTTGCCATGCTGTCTTACAACACTAGCATACATGAGGGAACGAACTACACCCCTCACGAATTAGTTTTCGGAAAAACAGCGAGAATACCCAGTTTGGAACCTGAAATAGACAACCGAGAAGTAACCACCCATGTGGAATATCTAAACGACTTATTCGACACTTTAAACGAGGTCCAGGAAAACGCCCGTCAGAATCTGATCCATGCCAAACAAAGGTCCAAGCGATGTTACGACGCAAGACTAAAGAATCAAGAATACCTTCCTAGTGATTGGGTTTACCTTTTAAAGGAACCCACTAGCAAACTAGACGACCAATATACTGGACCGTACCAGATTCTGGAGGACCTACCTCCGTGTAATCTAAAGCTAAGAATTAAGAACAATGATAAGATAGTTCACCAAAACAAATGTAAAATTGCGAAATAAGCTTATTTTCCATAGGATGAACTTTTTCGTCACCCTCATCTTTGCATCTACGGTGCTCTACGCCACGGAAGCCCTCATAGGCTTCGACTGCGACAGACCTACGATGAACCACACCACAGTGTCACTACTGGACTTGGAGGAATATTATCCCCCGGGTCCAGAAATCAAAACTACAGCCATCTATGTGCAATTGCTCCAGCTGTCCGAGTATGACCGTACCCGGATTATGCAGTGTCAAATCAACGTTAGGCGAATTGTCAACTAGTGTGGGATGCACTCCCACTTGTCAGCTGTCCAAAACGGTTTAGCCGAATACCTGCAGGAAGTCAGTTATACGGCATGTCGCCGCCTACATGAAGAAGGCACCTTGTCAATAGGAAATTCACTCATCACGGGAATCTCCCCGAATTCGACTACCCATCGTGCAGTTACCCTCGCCGGGTCAGTCGGCCCCGACGGCAGCTGCGCAGGCACCACCTACTCCGACCCATACGGAACCTGGAACAACGTATTCGTGCAAGCCACCTTGGAAATCAAACTAAGAACCCAGGTGGCACGAGTCAAGATCAACACTGGTAAGGTGTTCTACCTTCCGGTACAATATGCGACCTCGCCAGGACATCGTGTATCGACTACGATACCGGCTACACATTTTGGGACCCATTACCGTTTGACACATGCGAACTAAGTTCATACGACGTTCTCTACGAAGAGTTAGCTGACAAGACAGAAGAAGAATCCGCAACACATTACTCTGTCATCTATAGTCTTACTACTAGCGAAACCGCTTTCGCTTTAGCAAAAACCGGCGAGCATCACGTGTGTGGATACTCCATTATCGCTACGGAGCACCCCAGATTGTTCGTTGTTCAAACCCACCAAGGCAACCCTATCATCAAATGAAAACAGATACCAGCCGACAACTTAGACATATTCACGTGTGTCAATTCTAAATTTATATACGTTGAAAAGCACATCAGGAGCCAATTGACGTCGCTGTATCGCACCATCGTGATGCAGAAGTGTGAAGCGGAGAACCAAATCTTGAGAAACCCTCTCTCATTGGTCACGATGGTCCCGGAGGAATTCGCTTTTATAGTCACGAAGAAGCCAGGTTACATAGCCGTCAACGCCGGAGAAGTGATTCACATTATTCAGTGCATACCTGCAGTTATCAAGATACGCAAAACCGAAGACTGTTTTAATGAGCTCCCCGTGCTACATAATAATGAGACGTATTTCCTAACTCCCAAAACAAGGATCTTAACTAGATTCGGCACAAAGCGTCAGTGTAACCCGCTCCTACCCACTGTTTACAAAGTGGACGAACAATGGATTAAACTGACCCCATCAGTAATAACCGCTGACGAACTCCAAAAGACAAGGCCCATTTTACAGTTGAACTGCAGATATCTAACGCCTACTTCATTGGCTACCAGCGGCATATACTCACAAACGGAACTGCAACGACTAAGGGATCATATAATGTTCCCAGCAGAAAAACCCGCAGTAATCAACGAAATTGTGCGCGGAGTCACATCCTCTGGCACGCCATCCAGCTCGATTTCATTCACCATTTTCCTGGACGAACACTCCTTGGAGAAGATAACCAAATCCACGATCAACAAGATGTGGAACGGGTTCATCGAGTTCGGATCTGCAAGCGCAGCTATTCTCGCCATCTTCCTCACTTTCAAACTCATCAAAGGAGCAATTGACATCATAGTCAACGGATATACCCTGCATTCGGTTTACGGATGTGGACTTCACGTACTAGGCGCAGTATTCGCGTCTATCACGCACCTACGTGTGCATCTAAAACGGGGACCACCAGCAGCATGAGCAAACGAAGAACCGCAACCCGATCCTGAGGTCGCCGGATCTTTATCGCCATCAATTAAACTCCAAAGACTAAGAAACTATTGTACGGAGTAAGTTATAGTGCAGATCGAACACTTTTACATACAAGCGTACCTGTAAGAAATAAACTTTGGACACTGGCCCAAAATTTATTTTCCCGGGGAGGGACGTGTTACATCCTCGAGTAACCCCCCCCCCCCCCCCCCACGAGAGAGACAGATTTTTCGCGACCTACCTTACCGGCAGATGGTAACACACCGGCCAAAGGCAGCCGCCGTGCCCGATTATCGACTGATGATAAGTTGCCGACCGATTGAACTTTCCGCGCGCACACCACCATAAGTTACCGACCGATGGTACCTTCCATGAGCATATCATAAGTTACCGACTGATGGTAAGTCCCCAATCGTTAAACTTATCGACGAATGGTAACCTATCAACATTGTAAAACACATTGCTGACCATCGGTAAGTCATCGACTTATCAAATTCAAAGAGTTGGCCACTTACCGATACCCGCATATATATCGATCATTGTTCGTATTACTATTTTCCATTATTATTGTTATTATTAATTATTATTACAAATTATTATATTATGCTATATGCCTATGTTAATAACCATTAAGTCGTATACCTATATACAACATTAAATATTTAAGCATAAATACATTAATACTGTAAAGAGAACCACTGCCAGTAGAGAACCCCTGAGAGAGGGATCCAGAAGTTCTCACGGGACGTTTGTCAGGCTCCTCAAGTAACGAAAACTTAGCGTCGACAAAGATAAGGCTCTTCCGCGAACGCTGAGTTAGCATCAGCAAAAGATAACCGTCTCTCTAAAAATAGGCGCCTGTGAAGCCAAACCTTAACAGCTTTTACAATATAAATACAGGGCCCGGAGCCCAGATAGTCAGTCTACCGGGATCATCCACCAAGTTCACATCAAGTAGTTAACAGTCTACCGGAATCCATTCATAGTGTCACAGCAAACAGTCTCTTTTAACAACGCAACATCAAACTGTTGAAAGGATTAAGTGTTCAAATAAGGATTAAATTAGTTCCGCAGAAGTTCTCTAAGTTAGTGCCCATACGCAAGCCTTTTATATACATATTTTATTAAACACTTATATATTTTACTTGAATCCTGTGTATTTTTCCTACCCTTGTCAAACCGTGGAATCTCATTTATTATATTTATTCCTGATCGTCAGTATACTCAGAATTAATTCATAAATCATTATTATTTGCTATTTATATTTCAATCATTCGCGATCACTATTATTTGCTAATTTTTATTGTCTATGGAATCCTACGACAAGACCCAACGTAACTCAATTATTAATGTACTAAAATCACCAACTTGAATCTCATTTTAATCTGTATTCTATCTTTATTCTTCCTTCCAGTCACAGTGCTCTCAAAGGAGTTGCACCTGCCCTCACTATCCTATTAGAATGCGCTCAAGAAAGTCGCACCTGTCACTTTAACTCTACTCTTCCTGGTTGCGCTCAGGAAAGTCGCACCGGATTTCAACTCTAGCCAGAGTGCGCTCAAGAAAGTCGCACCGGCGTCTCAACTTAATATTCTACTTGCAATGAAGGTGAATCAAGTGAGTAATTAAACAATAGTATGACATATTCAATTTATTTTTACATCTCTAATACGTGACGGTCTTTGTAGGATAAACGCTGTCGTAAAGCCACTCGTCGTGGTGGTACCAAATAACGAGCTAGGGCAGTTATTAAACGGCAGATTCAACTAGTACGAAAGGAGTTAGAGACTCGATTTCCACCATTCGGTCCTTCAAGTGCATCCGGGTGAACCGTGTTACTCATCTGTGTCGGAAGGCTTCGACCATTTGCCTGGGTCCTCGCTAGCCGCAATTTATCGACTTAACCGAAGAACCAGAACCCGAATCGGTTAATGTAGCAGATACCAACGAGATTCCAAGTGACATCCTAAAACTTATACTTAACCTCTCAGAATAAAAGCTTTATACTAGCCTGCAAGGACGTGTATTCGTCCGCCAGGCTACTTCGACGATTCGGAGGACCCACCTTAAACAAAAACATCCTTCCTATTTATTCTCAAAAATTAACCCGAGTAACTTATCTACTCACTTCCCACGGCGCGTGCGTCCGAACCGCTCCGGACCCGCGTCCGTAACAATAGTAGTTTAGTAGAAGCTAATGAATTAAGGAATCATTTTGAATTACTTGCAATTAGTAGCCATTCTGAAATTAAAGATAAAATAGGTGATTTTACGTTATCGGAAGAACGTTTTAACCCTTTGCGGACGAGTGTCGGCATATAGCCGCCCAATTCTCGCGCTGCGGCTGGCGTATGTTTATCGTTCTGAACGTCCCGTGCGGACGATTGTCGGCCTATAGTCTTTGTATCGATAAGATCTTATCTTCCGTATAGTGTAAACTTACAATGCGAGACCATGGTAGGTTCAGAACGAATTCAGTCTGCCGAGTCAGTCTTTCAGTGTCACTAGAGAAACCAGCAAAGTTTTCATACATTTTATACATTTTCACATATTTTGTCGCATATTTTACATCTTGTAACATCCTACACACGATGGCTAAAAGATCCAGAGATGATACGTTCAATAGTGACAGTAGTGATGAGTTCCAATTTGAATCTGACAACACAGAAGATGACGACATTGCTTTATCGAGTGGAAGTGAAATAGTTGCAACAAGGAATGCACTCAGGCGTTTCAATGTGGGCAGTGATAGTAGCAGTGACGAAGAAATGAATATTCAGGAAAGTGATAACAGTAGTGATAACGAATGGAAGAATGTCATAAATCACGACATCGTTCCACAAAAAATACAATTTAGTTATGGATCACGAACCCCTGGTTCACAACTAAATTCAACTCACACAGAACCATTACATTTCTTCAACTCGTTCTTTACCGATGAGTTGATCAGAAAAATAGTTGAGGAGACTAATCGGTACGCAAATCATATGATACAAGGAAAACATCTAGAAAAGTGGTCCACATGGCATACATGGACTAATGTCACACGAAAAGAAATGAGAGCATTTCTCGGCATAATATTGCTTATGGGGACAATGCCACTTCCGAGCTTGAAAGATTATTGGACAACTGACAAGAAATGTAGGATCCCATACTTTGCCGAAATATTCAGGAGAGACCGATTCTTACAAGTATTTTGGATGCTGCATACAAATGAAAATATTGTAGGTACGCAACACATGGCAACAAGGACGCAAAAAATTAGCAATTTTTTAGATTACATTGATAGTAAATGTCATGAGAATTTTGTACCCGGGGCGGAGTTATCAGTGGATGAATCAATCGTCAAATTCAAAGGTACAACCCACAGAAACCAACCAAGTGGGGTATTCGTATTTATGTTCTTGCAGACGCCAATATTGGTTATATACAAACTAATTTTACCATATTATGGCAGTTTTACTACGGAGAAATTAGTTAGACCAGATCTGCCAATAAGCACGAGAATAGTCTTACAACTATATCACAATTTATTGCAATCCAATCTTGGCGCTGTCGGATACCATATCTTCAATGACCGGTACTTCACAAGCATTCCTTTGGCAGATGCACTACTGAAAATGAAATGTAATCTAACTGGAACTATCCAGACGAATAGGAAATTTATTCCACGTGAAATAAAAAATCCAAGATTGCAAAAAATGAAATCGTTGCATACAGACGGAACAATTTACTATTATTGGCTTGGAGAGACAAGCGTAATGTGACCATGCTCAGCACCTGTGCTACCTCATCTTCGACAACCGTTACTAAAAGGTCACGCAAAGAAGGAAGAACACATATTGTGAAGCCAGACGTGGTTATAAATTATAATAAATATATGGGTGGGGTAGATAAAGCAGACCAGTACACAGGCACGTACTGTTTCATGAGAAAGTCTCAAAAATGGTGGCGAAAATTATTTTTTTGGGGATTGGAAGTTTCAGTGATAAATTCCTATCTATTATATCAAGAGCATCACAAGACATACAATATAAAAAAGTTATCCCATTTACAATTTGTACGTCACTTGGTAGATCAATTGATTGGAGATTTTCGAGACGCTAATCCCAAGGCTCCGGCGACTTCTGGAACAGCAGAAAGGCTCAACGGCCTTCTACATATTATTAGGCGAGATGAGACAGGAAGAAGTAAAGATTGCCTCGTCTGCTCTAATTGAAAAATGAAACACGGAAGGAGAGAGTCGAGGTACTAATGTGCTACTTGTTCGGCTAAGCCGGCCTTGCACATAGGTGATTGTTTCGAACTATATCACACAAAGCACGAATATAAAACATCTCCTATGTAAAGACGACCAAATTTGTTTCTTTATGATTTTATTGGATTTTATAAAAATGCTATTTCAATAAAGCTTTAGATTTTAAAACGCAAACGTGCGACGTGAACATTTTCTTTACTGCGCGCTCCAGTACCTGTCGTCCACAGCGACGTTCGCCCGTCGAGCGCCCCCGTCCGCAAAGGGTTAAGGTATTTACCGGTTTAACTTGGGAAAATGTTATTAGTCTTCGGGAACTAATGACTTCCATGCGAAATTCATAAACTCGTATTATTACACAGGCCATTGTTGTTTTCGTATTTAAATTACGTTCCGGTAACTCAAATAGTATGATAACAGCAATTCTCGGTTTAGAGCATGAGCAACAAGTATCTAACTTTGTAAATCAGTTTTAGTGTCATTTCAAAAAGATATTTTACCTATTCACTTCGGGTTAGCTTCCTTTTCTCGCGAACATTTAATAGATAATGAAACTTCCGACATTGCTAAACAGCTGTATAATATTTCCAATCAATTAGTACTGGTTTTCGATGGTACATATATCAAGCATCAAAAAGGTACTAATAACGAATATCAGCGGAAATCATATTCTAGGCAGAAAAAAGTTCCGCTGTGTAACCCGTTTACTGTCTGCACAACAAATGGATACGTCGTTGATATGCTTGGACCTTTTTAAGCGAATCAAAATGACGCTCCTATCATGAAAATTGTTTTGCAAGATCCAAATGGCCTATGAAGTATTATGAAACGCGGAGACATCTGCATAGTTGATAGAGGATTTCGTGATGTCCAAGTATACTTCAAAGAATTGGGTTTTCAAGTATTGATGCCTGCTTTGAAAGGAAAACGTAGTCAGCTTACAACAATAGAATCAAATGCCTCTAGATATGTCACAAAAATTCCTTGGGTCGTTGAAAACGAGCTAAAAATCTTATTTACCGGGTCATATCAATTATCTCAGGCAATCTCATATTTAGCTGAAGTCATAGACGCGGACGATAGAATTAATATACTTTGTTTAAAAGAAAAAAATTATATCGCCAAATTCCAAGTACAATCGCGTCATATAAACAGTAAAACTTATCGCTGCTATGTAGATTATACACCGTATATTTCGGGAATTCGGGAATTAAGCGCTATTGCTGCGAATGTGCGAATGATAATCGTACCGTCGGGTGCTGCTCACACGTAGCAGCAATGATTTATTACCTGTCACACGCATGGAATCTGTCGGAAATTGTTAGACCTGCCGAACATTTAAGTACCATATTCCGACAAGATGAAATAGTACCTGCTATTAATGAAGACAGTGACGAAGACTAAAACTATAAGTCACATCAAACAGATATGGTGATAAATCTTCTAAAAATAAAGATAAGTATTGTTACAATAAACTTTTATATGCGCATCATATGAGCAAAAAGACAAAACCAAACAGTGGATTCAGGAAGTCAGAGATCATCTTTGTCATAATGCATCATCACATACAAAATTATATTCAATTAAGGTAAAATATATATTACTTTCCATATCTATTATAAGTCAATACCACATGACTTTTCAACTATTGGAAGCTATTGTTACGTTGCGCGTGCGACGGCGCAACGTCAAAAGGAAAGATATAATGATTGGAGATTTAGGTGGTTAAATTTCAATTAATTGGTTGGAATTCAACCCCTAATACCTACTTTCCTATTTTAGCGCGATGGTTGGTATCGCTGCCACCAGTCTCGAGCGTGTTAATGCTCTCGACAAATTAAAAGACGAAAGACAAAATTGATAAGATGTTAAGAAGTTATAATTATTAGCCTTTCGTTGGGTTCGTTCAACGCTTGGTCCCGTACGGGTCCCTCCTTGAATCTGTATGAGTTGGTAGGCGTGTTTGGCTGAAATGTGTGAGGTGTGTTTGAAATAAATTTGAAACTGTTTAACTAAATGAAACTGGTTTAATCGTGAATGAAAAATCAGATAATTGGTAACTGTGAAATGCCAAAATTGAGAGTTTAATAATTTAGAAATTCCGTTAATATAGAAAATACCAGTTTTGCAAAAATGTGAACAAATGTACAGATGCTTAAAATTAATTAACAAAATATGATTGTATAAAACGCTCTAATATCACAACTGAAACCGACGAGTATATTACCGGACGCGTGAAAATGATTATCACAATTTCGCTTTCCTGTAAATTAGCTGTAAAATCGGCGGTTTTCGCCCGTGGTACACCCCAGCTTGAGAAATTCTCGTAGCTCTCGGAAGAGCTGGACTAAGGTGCCCTTTTGATGACGGAAAAAGAAATTGGAATTGCGAAATTGTAACCAACAAAAGAATTAATATCGAAATCAGTTGATACCTGGTACGGTGGAACGATCTGACCTGAGTCACTCTCGTAATCCCGAAGGGCTGGACCAGATCGCCCGTTTTGCCAATTGATAAACGTCGTGAGTAGTTGTTCTATGCGGATTCTAAATCACTGGCGTCAGCATTTTTTTTGCTGACTCAGCAGTAATTTGACACCATCAGCAGAAATATGATACCCCCCTCCCCGCCCCCCTCTCCCCACCCCATGACCTTGAACTGAAATTTGACACCACCGTCAGCAGAAATATGATACGTCCTCGACAACCCCCACCCCATAACCACCCCTCCCCACCCCCCTCTCCCCATCCCCCATGACCTTGAACCGAAATTTGACACCACCGTCAGCAGAAATATGATACGTCCTCGACAACCCCCACCCCATAACCACCCCTCCCCCCACCCGCACCCACCCCATAACCCACCCCTCCACCCCACCCCATGACTTTGAACTAAAATTAGGCGCCACCGTCAGCAGAAATATGATACGTCCTGACCTTGAACTGAAATTTGACACCCCATGACAACCCCCACCCCCACCCCATGACCTTGAACTATTTTTGTCTTATCGGAAGACGGCACAAGGCCCCCAAGTGGAAATGAGATTTTTTGTTGGCGCAGCGAATCTGACTCTGCAATTCGCGACTATAGAAGGTAGAGGTTTTGCTCATGACCTTGAACGAATTTTTCTACGTCTTGGAAATGCGGTTTTTTTGTTGACGCTGCAGAGTGAACAGCAATTAAACACTTTCGTCAATGACAGCCCCACTTTAATAAAATGGGAGAAAATTGGCAATGTGTGTCATATGTAGTTTGACAATTAGAAGTGCAAGGATACTTAACGCGTTTGTGGAAAAGAGAAATGGAGGCCACGTTACTGCAGGAACTCGAACGTATTACCGAATTATTGGCGCAGCGGGCGATAAACATCAATACTGAAGATGAGCGTTGCGATTGCTTGATGCGATGTGATCAGTGCATCGAATTGATAGACGAACGATTACAAATGGGAGACGATTTATCAGTCGAAGGATGGCGAGACATAGAAGCATACAAAGAAAGAATCGACGCCTTGCGCAGAATATTGTATCGTGACAATGATCATCCTAGTGGTCAAAAGGCAATATTACTAAACGAACTTGCTTGTATAGAACAACTTTTGACACAACGTATTGCAGCCATAAGTAGTAGCGACGACCGAAACGCATGTCTGGTGCAATGCAATCAATGCATTGATTTAATGATAGAGCGATTGCAACTGGAAAAGGACTTATCAACTGGTTTGAAAAATAGTTTAACAGCCAGGATAGCGAGATTTAAATCGTTAAGAGCAGAGTTACACGGATCTGTAAAAATAGGCGAAGGTCAAAGGAGAACAGATGCTGAATCACATGCATCATCATCATCTCTTATCTGGGAGGATGTAGAATCAGCTTTCCATGACCGGATAACTACAGGAATTATAATCAACACCGAGCATATTGAACCACGAAACTTTTTGGAAGATGCTAGAAAAATAGTATTCCAACGTCTAGCGGAAGTTTTCCAAAATCATTCATGCATAAAAGTGAATACGGTGTTGTATGGGGAGTTTACCGCTAATAATAAAACTGATGTGAAAAGTTTCAGTGTGAGAAATAAACAATTATTTTCTACATCAAACTTGAACGATTGGTATGACAAATACGTTGTGAACTCAACTTTAACACTGATGGAAGAATTTCAGGAACGGGATAGTGGTTGGGCAATATCGAAAATTCTGCATTTGATGTTAAATATCAATAAAT